CACTGAACCGTGGATATCCTTAGGTCGGCCTCTGGTCACATGTAGGATTCCAACTACATCGTGTTAACTTTGATGCTCTGGGACAAAAGAGGTTAACAATACAAAATTATGTGTTTATCCTTTAATATTTAATGCGTCCTGTACTGTACTTAATTATACTGTAAATTAGCAAAAGCCCCATTTCAATATAGGACAAAAGGATATACAATAATCAATATCCAAAAAAATAATAAATCAAAATCAAGTTAGAGTCAAGTGCTGACAATTCTACACTATTTCTGTAAATACAGTTACTTCAGTCAGTATTTGGCAAGTTCAATTGATTTTAAAAATGTCAAAGAAATATCAAAAATAAACAAGGGGCCTAGTGTACAATCCATAGTGCACACTTAAAAATCTTGGATATTGAGAAAAGCAGATGGCTACACTCTCTCTGAATCAAGCCTTGACAGAGGAAATTCATAGCTGTTCTGTCACAATGGAACCATTTGCGAAGTAGAATGTTGTATCCGAACCAATAAAGAGGATGTGCTACAAATCAAAAGCATTCACATAATATTGCTGTCGTCCTCATCGTTGTCATCTCTTCTGGCAACTACATCTTCTTCATTACAAACTTGCTTAAGTTTCTGTAAAAAGTGAACACAAAAATGTGTCAATTTAATCTACAGTCGGCCTTTTTTGCTTTTTATATTTAATATCCTACATGTAGGATGAGTTTTAGTATTGTTTTCTGAAGTGAAGTGATTTTTCATTACTGTTAAACTTGACTTAACCAAACATATTCTTATAGTAAAACATTTGCTATATAACAGCTATAAAAACCATACTTTTAATAGTCCCAAGGTAACACCAACTCAGTAGATTTAATTACAAACGTATGATCACCCTTGTTAATATATTATTTGACTGCTGAATATTAGTCCTAGTAAACAAATTCAACAGATTAGAATAATTACATTTATATTAAAAATACCATGTGTAGGCCTATGTTAAATATTTATGAAAAAATAATATAAGGTAAGTATAAATTATCATGATAATTTAAAACTTTCTAATAACTTGTCTGAAGCCGTGATACTTGACATCCTTAAAACAATTAATTCCCATTCTAAAATTAATGTATTAGTTAATATAAGGAAAATAATAAATGAAAATATTATAGGTAATTAAACTGTTTGAAGTGATCATTATGGAATGATAAACATACGCACACAGTACATACAAGGTTAGCATATCATGCTGATACAGTGATAGCCCACCATTT